TGCTCCAGCCTTCTTCAGGTCTACAGTCCACATTGTTGGTATGATATGTAGTACTAAGAAGATTTGTTAGCATCCCAACTGTGGTTCAGACTACAGATCACATGTTTCATTTTTTTACGTAGTTTTTCACGGCATTTTCGGCGACAAACTGCTTTATGTATACAATCCTTATAAATGGTAATATCTCTAATACTTAGTTGAGTCCTTAAATTCTCAAGCGTTGCTCAGATTATAAATCGCTTGTTTGTTTTTCAATATTTTCCTTTGTGTAGTTTCTCACAAATATTTGGCTGACACTCACTTCTGCTGGCCTAGAATACATTTAATTGGTATGAAATTTGTTATTAGTACCTCGTTTTTTAACGAACTCGAATATAAGACAGAAGGGGTTACTGGGTGTGAGAGAATTAGAAAACAAATGCATTTTTTTACATAGTTTCCTGCGACGTTTTCTGCTACAGACTCTTATAGCCTACAATTCTTATGAGTGGTAATATCTCTGATTTGAGTTATTAGATTCTCAAGCGAGACAGTAGAATGGTAATCAGGAAGACAGTAGATAACGGTTGACATTGCATTTCATCTTTGAACAACGAACTTGTCTGGACAGCTAAGAAGCCGGAAGAGAATTAATAAGCGAGAAAGAAACTTTCAGCATACGAACTTACGGTCATATCTAGCCAATTCTGAACTAATGGGACCTTGTTACTATTGTAGAAGAGCGCTTAAGTTCGAAGTGTCCAGACACAGCGAAGAGCGATATTTATTTTTAATATTTACAAATTGTGGCACAAGGCCTAAAAGGGAATGGTGGAAAAGGATGGTCTTCTTCTGTTTTAACGTTAAACTTAGCTAGCCACAAACACTGACCCAAACATACCATAATATTCTTTACACCAAAACAACGCATTCTTACTTACCTTTCTTACTGCATCCACCATAATACCTCATTGTCTCCATGAAAATCCTAACTTGTCCCTATATATAAAATTCATTGTCTGTAGTGATTGGGAGATAAAAAAAAACAATTTAAAAACTAGCCCCAATCGAACGAGCTCATCTGAAAAATTACCATGAAAGTATTTACAGAAAACAACACAGGGAAGGAACTTTACGGCGGAAGGAAATTAACTGAAGCCAAGGTGCCACGTAAGAACCAATAATGTTGCTGATTCGTCAAGGGATTTTATCAAGAATATATAAATATAAAGGAGAAACACCGGACCATATGTGACAGTAATATTCGAGGCATAAGCGAGTGGTAGTTTTTATAGATATATAAGATAGATTCTGAAGGAAGTGTCTAGAATGGCACAGTGATCAAGCTTTCTTGGCAGCAAACTTATCAATAGATTCAATATAGTATTTTCACTCTTTGTCAGCTGAGAATGTTAGCCCGAAAACGCCAAACGAGTAAATCTCTTGGAAGATAGCATCAGCCATACAGCTTGAAGGCAGAAAGGGGTCTCTGAGAGGATTAACGAACAGCAGTTTTGTTTTGGAGGAGTTAACATTAACAAGCCTAACTTTGCCCTAGTTAACAACAGACTGTACCGGTCCATATGTAGCAGTATTGTTTAAAGCATAGACGAATGGTTGACTTATAAATATGAAAGATTAATTATGGCGAAAAAATGTCTAGCCGATCACAGTGAACAAACTGTGCAAAAAATTGATTCAATATAATCTTTGCAGTTTATGTCAGCGGCAAACGTTTGTTCGAGAAGTCACAATGAGATATTTTCTTGGAGGTTAGCAACAGCCACACTGATGGAAAGCAGACGAGCAAAAAAATGGCTTTTTCGTCTTGATAGCGTCAAAATTAACAAAATCATTCCTTGACCCAGTTAAAAGCATAATACATTTTATTTGTTTTTTACTCATAAGGAAACATTTAATACTGCATTTTTGTTACTTTTCGCAACGTTTCGATTGACCCATTCTGTGGTCTTCTTCATGCTTACATACTCTATTGGTGGTACGTTTAGTAATGCAGAGGTTTTTCTTACAATTTTGCTAAAGTGTCGCTTTTTTTTTCTATGAAGATTGTCTTTTGGTTGAGTTACTGGTGATTCGAATTTAAAAAATCTAATATCTGTTTTTTTGAGCCGAAGCTGCACATAAAAGCATTTAACATGATCAGATTATGGTAAATGCTTTTTACCGATTGAATTGAGATTTTTTGGGAGTATGTTCGCCATCTCTCACTTTCTAAAGTTTTATTTATTTGCATTTGATAGAAGATTCGTTTCTTATCCAACTACAGAATCACTGTTGCTTTTATAGAAATCGACGTTTATATTGGGTTTTCACGCATAAAAATGTCGCATTTTTTTTATTGCTAGTTGATCCATTAGTCTAACGAATAAACCTTCTTAGTATATAAAATCTTGACATATTCCTGATTCTTTTTCTTACTAGATAATTTTTCATACAATATATTGTTACTCATAAGTTCAATGAAAATGATTACAATGAAACAATATCGAGATAAAGTCGAGTTGAGAGCAAACTAGAGAAAAAGAACCATTTTTGCGTCGAATCAATTTATGCGATGAGAAATGGTATTTATCAATTCACCCACAGGAATTGAAAGTGGCACAAGGCCTTTTTAATGTGGGTATGTCTGAGCCCGTAGGCCAGCCAAAATAAAACCCATCTAAACCCGTCAAGCGGGCTGGTTCCGTCAACCTCCCCCGAACGAAACCCCACCCTTCGGCGGAGCTTCGTCCAGGTTCCTCTCTGCAAGCAGAGAGTTCGACAGACACCCGACCCGGCAGCTCACAAAGCGCAGATACTACACTTTGATCCTAGCCACCGGGCCGAGCGGGTATTCTTTTTTTAGATACGCGATGAGATATGCGATGAGAAATGGATACTCTTTGACAACAGTAAGAGGGGAGTCACGGTGACGGACAGCGGCCCTGGTTGAGGAGATCCGAGTTCGAATTCCAGTCAAATCCATTACATTCGCGTAAATGCTAACAAACTTAGGAAAGTTCTGAATCCTCTGTTTCTCTCCCCAGTTATTGACCGTTAAGGATTAAGTATAACTCACGATTTCCATGTTAAAATTAGCGGAGAGCGGCTCATATAGAAGAAGTGGAGAGCCGACTTACGTGCTCTTACTCTTGGGAAAGGTATGAATCCTCTTTTCCCACCCCAGCTATGGGAAAATAGCAGGACAGATTGGGTTCTATAATCTTGGATGGCAACTGGTCTACCGCAGAAAGAAATTGCTACCTACTGCGGTAAAAAATTTGCCTCGTCAGTCATGTATCGAAAGATACATTATCGCCTAAGCGTGTATCACGCATGGCACATAAATGACTGAAGAGAGTTGGCAAGTGGTTAGAGGTAAGTGAATCGCCAAAACAATAGCAAAAACCTCCACTGTACCCTAAAGATTTAATGATTGTTATATGGTGGTCTTTCAAAGGGGTTATTCATTATTCATATTTTACCTCAAGGGAAAATAATAGCAGCAGCTTAATATTGTGAAGAAATTGAGTGTATGCACAAAAAATTGGAAGGAAACATCCTAGACTTGTGAATAGATATGGCCCAATTTTGCTGCATAAGAACGCAAGGCCACACGCTTCCCAATCAATTGTCCAAAAGATGCATAGCCTGAATTATGAATTTGCCTCATCCTCCATATTCACCTGATATCTCTCCTACTGATTATCACTTATTTAAGTATTTTGTGCTTTGCATACGCAATAAAATATTCTCCAATAAGGAAAAAGTAACTGAAGCATTTGAGCTCTTTATCACATCAAAGAATAAGGATCTTTTTTAAAGATGCGATCAAAAATTCAGACGGTCGTTGGAGAACCATCATTCATCAACATTTCAATTGGTTATTTAACATTTCAAAAGCGTTTTATTCATTTCCTATAAAGTGCATCAATCCATGTGTGACTAACGTTATTTAGTAGTGGTCCAATTCGCTTGACCTAAGGTCACTTTTCGTCAGCCATCAAAATTTCAGAAACGAACATTTAAATTGTCTGTCAGGGATTTTTTAAGCTTAATTTATGTGGAAGCATCACATCAAAATTGTTACCATAATCAACCTGGTGTAAACGATTGAAATGACAGAGGTTGATATTTTGAGTAATTTCCCTCACTCCCACGTCTCTATAATTTTAGTTATTTGTATGTAAATTTAGTTTTAATCTCTATCTACCTAAACTAGTCCGACAACACGCTGAAACAAGACTCAAATAAAATTGCTCGGCAGAAAATTTCGACAAACGTATCTGACACGTTCAGTCATTCGGGGTACCGTATATTTTTTCTGTTTTCAATTTTATATATTATTTTCTTGACTGTCAGCTGAATTTCTTCCTTAAAGCATGAGAATATATCAACACACTGCTTTGCGCATTACATCGCAAAGCGGCATTAAGAATATAGGCAGTCAAAATTAATTAACAAAATTAGATAGATAGATAGATAGAAAATAAATTATAGGCAGAGCGATAAAGCATTATAATAAACAGGTAGATAGATAAGAAAAATAAATTAGATACATACAGCAATAGATGAAAGATTATAATAGATAGATAGATCTTTATAATAGATAAATGGAATACATCATAATATATATATATATATATATATATATATTTTATATATTTAAAATATATATTCCTCCGCTACATAAAATTCTCATATATATATATATATATATATATATATATATCCAAATAATTTTGTTTAAAATTATGAGTTCCTGGAGCTACATAAAATTTCATCTTTCAAAAAACGAGATGAAATCATAGATCCAATAATTAGATAAAATTAAGTTGAATGGAGATGTTTAGATAGATTTCATCTTCAGATAGATAGATAGATAGATAGATAGATAGATAGATAAAAATAAATTAGATAGAAAGAGCAATAGATGAAACATCATAATATATAGATAGATAAAACATTAAATTAGATGCTTAGATAGAGCGATAGATAAAACGTAATAGATAGATAATACATTATAACAGATAGATAGATAGATAGATAGATAGATAGATAGATAGAAAATAAATTACATACATAGACGGAGCGATAGATAAAGTATTATAATAGATAGGTAGATTGATAAAAAATAAATTAGATATATAGATCAAGAGATGAAACATTTTAATAGATAGATAGATAGATAGATAGATAGATAGATAGATAGATATGAAATACGAACCTATTCAGATATCCTACTCTGTCTGTGACTATATCCATCTTCCTACGTGTGTTTTGATTGCATTTGCGTGTGTGCGTGTTATACTGGTTACATCATTCTCTCCGAACCTAACACCGTCCGTCTCCGTTGATGCCAACCCCTGCGTCCATAATCTATCGCCTCGTTTATATTTCACGGCTTCTTTTCAACCCACGCAGGATGATTAATTCTAATCACAATAGTGAGATCAATACAATTTTAATGACCTCGGTTTCTCTGCTAACGCACGGGATAAATTATTTCAGAGTGCATCAAATCGTGCCAAGTTACATATTTTCAGGTTTTATCAGTTATTCACTCGCACAGGAAATTATCAAAAGCCTACCACCCCACCATACGAAGTCCGCTGTTGGCGCTCATTTCAAATTATTTTATAATTACAATTAAATAAGCATTACTTCTAAATCCCTGCTGATAAATTGTTTTGCGCCAAAAATCAAAGAAGTGCATCATCCATCTTTAAAATGTTCCAATTACCGAATTTCTTCCCGACCACCTACTCTTGTAGACTTTTACTGTTATAATAGCAGAAATTAAATCCTGGGATTTTTGTTGTGCTTACATCTCCCAGAATATCACTGGGATATACCACTTGAAATTTTTCAATATACCACTTTTATTCTTTTTTTTTTCTCGATATGGGGGAAAAATCACTGATCTTGGGTCTTAATTATTTCACTTCACCTTATATTTTTGTCTCCACTGTTTGAGGGTTCGATATTTTGGCACTGGTAGCAAAATATGGTAAACCTAAAAAGCTCTATTTCAGCTAAATATTGTTTATTTTTCTGGTTAATATATTTAGGCAGCAAATCTTCATTCAAACATGCTTCATTAAATAATATAGACATATTGCGTCGAATTGGTTTTTTTTTATACTGATGCTTTTACAGTTTTCTAATCAGTTTTCTGTTACGATGAATTTCATCGATGGATGCGCCATATTTTTTTTTTCAACCCGAGTACTTTTGATTATTTTGAAGACCATCTCCAGGTGTAAATTTCAATTCCAAATTTATTGTAATCGCGATAAAATCTGCATTCCTTTGTCATGGTGATTTCTAAAAACATGCGCAAACCCGATCTGATCAGTATAAAAAGAAGTAGAGACAATATGCCCATATTATTCAATGAAAACAAACGGACACAAACATACACAGACACACACACACAAACACACACACCCATATATATATATATATATATATATATATATATATATATATATATATATATATATAAGAAATGATTGTGTCGTTTTTTAAATATTTATTTAGAAAAAAAAAACTTCCCTGTCTCACAGCTCTTTGAATTTCAATATGACATGATATGTTTGGCATATCCCCATATGGCTTAGCCACATGTCTCTCTGTTTGAATTTAACTTTTGAAACTCATAGAACTGTGAAACCAATAAAAATTTACCTATGTGTGATATATAAATAAATAACATACTTTTTATATATATATATATATATATATATATATATATATATATATATATATATATATATATATATACACACACAACAAATACATATAAATACAATATAGTATAAGAAAAACAGTGCTCAATGTTAAATAACAGACCTATTTAATATATATATATATATATATATATATATATATATATATATATATATATATATATATATATATATATATATATATATATAAAATATACATAATGCATTGCATTAATTGCACAACTTCGGCATGGAACTCAGGTTGTGCAATTAATTGCATATTATATATATATATATATATATATATATATATATATATATATATATATATATATATATATATATATATATATATATATATATATATATATATATATTAAATAGCTCTGTTATTTAACATTAATCCTGTTTTTTCTTACACTATATATATATGTATTTTATACGATCACTTCGCATTTACCTATTGGGTTATATATATATATATATATATATATATATATATATATATATATATATATATATCTATCAGTGTCCCTAACGTCGGGACACATAAGAAAGATCATTAAATTTATATATATATATTTTTACCTCCACAGAATAAACATGGTTTTGCCAAAAGAAGAAGGAATTGAAATGATACTTTTCAGTGGACGTTAATTAGACAAAAGAATGTTTTTGAAAATTTAATTTCTTGAAATTTACAATATATATATATATATATATATATATATATATATATATATATATATATATTCCTGTGTGAATGTGTGTCTGTGCGCGCGCGAAAGTGGACACTGGCGTTGTGATAAAAAAAATTTGTGAACCAGTAATATGGAGTGATAGTGAAAAACAATAATAACAAATATAATATGAGCTCTGGTAAAAAAAAAAATTCCTGAGACATTCGGTTTATAAGTCCCGAAAATTAATACACTCATGAACACTCAGTATACAAAATCGTTCTTTGGAGTGATTTGACCCAAAGAGTTTACTCAAATCCATGGTTACAGCGGACTTGAACAATAACTTGAAGAGCTGAGTCAATGGGATACAGCTGATACTGACATATACGGAAGAGGCTTGGCACGTGAAACTAGAACAATCTACTCCGGTTGATCAAACAAATATTCATCAGTTCGAAATTACAGTCATTGCGGAGCGTACAACGACCGAAACGTCGTTAATATGAAAACAAAGATGGGGACAACAGTCAGAATAATGTGGCACCATTTACGAGGCAGAGAAAGAAAGAGAAAGAAAGGAAGGCAGAAAGAAATGCGAGGCGAATCGTAGGTGATAAAACAGCCATACACATGGCCTAAGAGGCAATGAAAATATTGATAAGTAACAAGTGAAAAAGTGTGTCATTACAATGACAGGGAATTTCTGAGTAAAAAAAGAAAAGAAAAAGAAAGAAGGAACCATATGTGTTTTGATAACGGCTATGTTATCTAGGTGCGTACACGAATGGCTGGACCACTGCCCAGGAAAAATTCAAGTGAAAATGCTATTTCGATAAGTGACGAGAAACAGGCCACTAAAAAGAACTTTGGACAGATATGAAAAATTAAATCCCACACAAGCAGTGCAGCTGACTGAATTCTTTTCGACGAAACAACTTTGCCCTGCGATAATAAAATTATTTTATCAGACATATGTACCGAAGTGTTTTTATTTCTTCCTTGGAGGCGACAGACTGACTGAAAATTTTGGGGATATTTCTTTTCTGAACCCATGTTACGAAAACCAACCATCTTGATAAATTAGCGATAAACTACCTGACAAATACCACGTGTAGAACAAAGAGATGTCATATTGTCCGTTCGTGGCTAGAGAAATGATAACGGCGATTTGAAAGGAAGAAAAAGGAAAGAGAAGAGATAATTAATTTTTTTTTAGTTAAGCAAGGTATTTTTTTCCCGAAACAAAGCCACGGATTGTTCACGCCCGACTAAGACATCATTGGTCAAGTGGTGATCACGTGACGCACGAAGGAGGAGGAAGATACCCGACCAAGACCTCATTGGCCGAGAGTGATCACGTGACGCACGAAGAAGGCTGTCGACGCCCCATCCAAAGTATAAGTATGAGAAGCCGCTACGAAGAAGTGGGGAGGGCAGTTCACGCCCTCAGAAGTATGGTGAGGAAGTGGGAGTAAAAAAAAGTTACCAAAAATGGAAAACGAGGGAAAATCCCTAACCAGAAATAAAGAGGTGGATATGTATTTAGAATTATCGAGAAACCCCCCGACGCCAACAGAACCACCCCGGTTTTGGTCGGCGTCAATAAAAGCAGGGCCCCAACAGGCAGAAATCTGTTCGGACTCTGGCGGCAGAGATGAGTATCCAGAGTTCGGGCTCCAGTTTCCAGAGTTGAAGCCGCCTCGAGATAGCTGACCAAGATTCACGCAAAATTCCGGACTCCTCTTCAACCAAAAACAATTATTTTGAAGAGCGACTTAGAACCAGACTACCGAAATAAGTTTTTTTTCGACTTTCGTCCGAAGACACACCGAAAAACCAATTTCTTAGAGAGCAAACAACTTGAAGCGTTAAAACTTGCCTAACGGAAATCGACGTGTAACAATCCACAGAACGGGTCAGGAGATAGATGGTATTTATCAATTCACCCACAGGAATTGAATGTGGCACAAACCTTTTAATGTGGGTATGTCGGGCCCGTAGGCCCAAAAAAATAAAACCCATCTAAACCCGTCCAAGCGGGCTGGTTCAAATCAACCTCCGTCAAATAGATGCAGTCTTATGTATCGAACAACTAGACATAAAATTTGTTACCTTTTTCTTTGATACTTTGAACTTTTTGAGTTTTCATTTTATTTTCTTTTATGCATTTTTGTGTGTTATCACCCCCGTTGAACTCAGTTTGCATTACGGCCCCAACCACTGTTCGATCTCGTCTGCCTAAGATCAATTCACAACGTGGGTAGGCAGACTGGAGATCAATGCAGTTACCTTGGTAACCAGGCGTTGGAAGCGAGTTAGGAACGACAAGGCTGATATCAAATCTAACCAGATTCCTCCCGAATCACCAAAAGGTTAGAACGTCACATTTGGGTGTCGCGACCGATACCAAGCCAGTTGGTCGTCACAGGACGAGACAACACGACTGAAGCGACAGGCGGACGTCACGTTTTGGAGCAGCGACACCCGAACGGAGCAGCGAGGAGCGAACAGCTGGCGCCGCGGCGAACACGTCACAATTGGTGCTGTTTGGGGACGTCACAACTGGCGCCGTGCTAGATCAGGATAGAACATCACAGTCGGCGCTGCGACCGGGGGACAACGTCACAATAATGTGAATAAAATATAGTATCTTTTAACGTATATAAACGCTAAAACAGCAGCCAGAGCGCTCAATTCATAACTGAAGAGCGATGCGTCAATAGCAGGTGCAGCCATTTTTAGTGCTCAATCGGCACATAGAAGTCTGTTTCGCTGTATCACGAGTAATCACTCTGGCTAGAAATCCGATAGCT